GAGTTAAGCGCTTCTTGACACTAGGCTCTAGGTTGGCACCTGCCTTGACTTCTTTCTTGTCCTCTTCAGTACCTAAGTTAACTGTTTCAACTGGCTCTTCATGGGGCTGTATGGTTCTTTCTTCTTGTTGCAATAACCTGGCTAGTTCCCCTAGTACCTCACAATCTTTCTCACCTTCTTCTTCGGCTTGGTAGATCGGATTTTCAAGGTCACAATAGGCCATAGCAGAATTATTACCCATGGGATCCTGAGTGGATGTGGATCTGCATTTCGATATGTGAGTGTGTGTAAGAGCATAGCTATCTTTGATAAAATAAAAAGGTAGAAAAAAGAAGAACAAAGAGCGTAAAATTTTGCATGCAAAAACGTCCATGATTTATTGATGACATATGAAGATGAAGTAACAACCCTCACAAATGGACCATTATGCCGCAGGTAAGACACAAGGTTTTAAAGTCTAAATTGTTTAATTATTACAAGTCTAAAAATTTTAAAAGACAATTACTCTTGAATAAAAGTAATAGGGACAAATTCTTTGGCCTCTCAATTTCTGAGTACTCCGCTGATGGTTGGAAAAATCCACCCGTCTATGTCACAATTGTCATTGCTGTCTTCCAATGCGTTGACTCCCAGATTGCTGATATGTAAAGGAGGTTCCCCAGCACGAGTTCGTTGAACAGCCCTTTGGGCCTCCAAAGTAAAACCCAAACCAAATTTGTTGGATTTTTAGGGAATATCCGGAAGTTGACCCCAAATGGTACATCCATCTTCCTCCACTATTGCTCTAGCATCCTTCAGAGAGGCCATTTTTAATGGAGGTCTGGTAGCCTTCGGAGTCTTGGTAGTAGTCTTGGTTGCCGCAACTGTTTGTGGGACCTCCTTAAAGTTCTGACATGGGGTCTCAATGAACTCACCGTCCATTTCAACATACCTGAAAGAGTTCAGGTGGCTAACCATGTATTTCTCCTCCCCATGGACTGTGATGATCTTTCCCTTAACTGGGTACTTCAGCATCTGATGTAGGGTAGAAGTGACGCCACCAGCTCCATGGATCCAGGGTCGGCCCAATAGACAAGAATAGGAAGGGCGGATATCCATCACATAGAAAGTTGAATCAAAAGTCTGAGTTCAAACTTTTATAGGGATGTCTACTTCTTCGTGCAGTGTTCTTTTAGAACCATCAAAGGCCCTCACCATAATGTTGCTAGGCTTTAAAGTGAGTCCCTCGCAATCTAACCGGTCAAGAGAATTCTTTGGAAAGACATTCAGCGATGAACCCGTATCCACCAGAACATGGGCCAACGTAGTTCCCCTACACTCAATGGAAATGTGCAAGGAATCATTGTGTTTTCTTCCTTTGGGAGTTAAATCAGCATCAGAAAATCTCAGTCCATTATCAGCAGTTAGACTGGCCGCACAATTCTCAAATTGATCAATGGAAGTCTCTTGGGGCACGTGGGCGGTCTTCAGAAGTTTTACTAAGGCCTTGGCATGGGCCTCAGAGCATAAAAGCAGAGCCAACATTGATATTTTCGAGGGGGTCTGCCCCAACTATTCCATGACATTGTAGTCACTTTTCTTGATTATATTTAGTATCTCTTCCATTTCCTTGATAGAAGCTTCAAGAATGACCTCTGGACGTGCCTTCTTCTGGACAGGCTCCAACAATACCTCTTTGCCCCTTATCTCGGTAGCAGGGATAATAGTAGGACTATCAATGGGAGTATCACTGGGAATGCTGGTAAGAGCGGTAATTATAGGAGTAGCAATGGTCTTTGGAGAGATCTCGGATGAGAAGACTCTTCCACTTTTTGTTATCTTACTAGTTTCAACGATATTGACGATGTCAGGATCAGTGCCTTTTGCAATTTTGTCTTTGATAGCCAATAGATCTTGCCTGACGCCATGGTAATAGACCCCAGCCCCATAGTTCCAGGGAATAACTTTATCCGAAGAATATGGTATTGGCCCTGGCATGGTGATGATTAGGGGATCATATTTTTGAACAAATGTAATCTTGACGGGTCTTTTAGTGGAGACCCTAGGTGGATTGTCGGAAATGGTGATTATTGAGACATCTTCACAGGAATTTATGGTAAGAGGAACTTTTTCAAACATGATTTCTTTGTTAGACATCAGGCGATGGACACCCATCTTCAATAACAAACAACCATTTGGTAGAGACATACATAAGCGACAACTTTCATCACAACCCAGAAACGGACCGGCTTGCAATAGATTCTGTTTAACAGTCAAAAGGGGAGTAGTTAAATCATTTATGGAGGAAACAAAACAATCATCATCAACAATGTTGACACTTTGACCGTGTTTGAGCATTGGCATCGTTATCACATTAGGTGTTTATGAGGGGTCAAACTCAATCTCTTTCGCCTCGATAAGGTCTTGTACCTTATTCTTCAAGGCCCAACAATCATTCATATCATGCCCCAAGCTCTCAGAATGATAGGCACATCGAGCATTCGAGTTGTAGCAAGGAGAAGTAGTATTGGGGTTCTTGGGAGCTTCTTTTAGAGTCACTAGATTGGACTTCAAAATATGTGGCAAAACTTGGGACAAGGTCATGTTGATCCGAGTGAATCATCTTATAGGCGCTTCTAGCCTGCGTTAATAGTTTCGCTGTTGATTTGGTATGGGATTGGAAATCATAACAGCCCCCACTGTCGGGCGACGCTCAGTTTTGTTTTGATTCCTGTGGTCATATGCAACACTAACCTCCTTCTTTTTGGTAAAGGGTTTCTTTATCGTGCTCGAGGATACATCTCTTTGAATTTTTCCACTCTTTATACCGGCTTCTACCTGTTCACCAGTCATGATTAGTTCAGTAAATCCAGTCGAAGAGCTTTCGATCAGATGGTTGAAGAATGGCCCAGATAACGTTCCTAAGAACATATCCACCAATTCTCTGTCAGATAGAGGGGGTTGGACTCTTCCCGTGAGATCCCTCCATTTTTTAGCATAAATTTTGAAACATTCACCAGCACCCATAGACATGCCTTGCAACTGTGTTCGAGTTGGAGCTAGGTCAGCATTATACTGGTATTGCTTGTAAAAAGCGGCAGCCAAATCTTCCTATTTGGGAATATTGGTCCCTTCCAACTGATAGAACCAATCCAACTGCGTCTTTGACAAGCTTTCTTGGAAGAAATGCACCTATAGGTTCCTATCAACAGTATGGGGTTGAATCTTCCTGACGTATGACCTTAAATGCAGCTTTGGACAAGAGACACCGTCATATTTAACGAAAGTGGGAACCTTAAATTTCTACAGGAAGACAACCCCTGAGACAAGTCCTAGATCTTTAAAATCCAATACGGGTACCCTCTGGATCTCCATAGCATTGAGGCGATCCTCCAGTTGCTTGTATTTATCGTCAGCTGGGGGATACTATTCTTAAGAGTAGTCTGCTTCTTCCTCTTCTTCAGACTCTGGGTGTTCCTTTACTTCCTTGTTTTTCCCTTCTTGATTATCTCCTTCACCCGACGAGGTTGCAAAATCTAGAGTTTGTCTGGTTGTTCCTTTGAACCTTCTTCCTAGATTCAAAACACCGACTGGTTTCTTCGCTTTCTTATTCTTCTCTTGGATCATCAAAGTATTCAAGTCCTCTTGTCCTTTAGCCAGAGCCAAGAACATTTGTTGGAATTGAGTGTTCTGCGCTTGGAGATCCTTTATTGTCTGTTCAATATCCATTTCACTGAAATAAACAGTAGAAAGATAAGGAGACTTGCTGTAAGAAACCTGTTTGTGTTATGATGAATGAAAATGCACATGCAAATGATTTCAAGGATATTAGATATTTAAATTTATTTTAGACAAAAAGGAACACACGTTGCATTAATAAATCCAAGTTCGAGTACATCATGCCTCTTTGGGCTTACAATGAAAGAAATAAAATACAAAAACTCCTAAGACAAAAAGGTTGAACGCATCCTCTTTGGTGCGATGTGGAAATTCAAACTCTGCTCTTCATGAAGCTGCTTGGTGAGTTTCAGAACTTTCTTCTCACTGGCGTAGAATTGGGCTTCGAAAGTGTCTCGTTCTTCCTTTAGCTGAATCCAATCCTTTTGCAAGTCTTTGAGAGAGGTAGGAATGTTGACATCTCCTTCAACAACAATCTCTATGATAACAGGGAGGATGGAGGGGTAAGGCATTACGAGACTCTGAGCACGAGCTTGTACCCTCCTAAGGTAAGGCTCAAGGAGAATGGAATTTTTGTGTCCCAATGTCCTACTATCCACCTTGTTTACCATCCTCCAAGCTCGTATAAACCTCTGACGGTATCCTTGATCGTCGCTTTTGTAGTCGAACCCCACACCTTGGATGAGCGCATCATGTGGACCATCTCTTCGTGCGTACGCAAACTGTCGCAAAGTTAAGCAAGGGTTATAAGTGATACCTCCTCTAATTCCAAGCAGAGGAACATTAGGGAATTCCCCACAACGGTCGATGATAGTAATATCCTCCAAGGATCGAGAACACCAATGGATATTCGAATGTCTGAGTGACATCAGCCTATTGGACCATCTCAAGCCTTGTTCATTCTTCACAACGGATCGGGGGAGATGCAAAACAAACCATCTAGCCAACATAGGAGTAAAACACACGAGGGCTCCTCTTCTCTTCATGGTGCGAGAGTGGAGAGAATGCAAGATATCTCCCAACAAAGTAGGCACTGGATTGTGAGATAAAAAGAGTTTAACAACATTCACATCTATAAGTTGGTCCGGGTTTGGAAATAGTACCAACCCATAGATGAGAAGAGCCAAAATTTCTTCGAAAGCTTATAAATCCAGAGTGTTCCAACAATCTTGAGCTTTTTCCAACATGAACTTGGCTAGGAACCCTTTGACACCACTTCTTGTTTCCCAATTAGCTGTGATGTCGAATTGTTGCAAGTGTAAAGTTCGGGAAACCTCTTCAGGGCTTGGATCCCTTTCAGTACCGTTGAAAGGTAGTTGATCGAGAATAGGAATTCCCAAGAGTTAAGAGAATTCTTCCGTAATTGGTACAAGATGGTAATAGGGGAAGGTAAAGCAATGGTGCAAAGGATCAAAGAACTGGAAAAGCACCTTCATAATATCTTCATCAAAGCTTGAGGTAACCAAGTTGAGAAGTCGTCCATGTCTTTTGGTGAATGGAGAATTCTCAGGGACCCTTGATGCTAACTCTTTGAGTTGAAAAGGTACTCGTACAAGGTTGACTTGGATTGTGTTCCTGCGAGTGGGAGTCATATCCTACAAAACAGAACAAAGATGAATCTCAAAATCCTTGAAATGGTTAGTCTAAAATGCTATGGTATGATGTCATGATGTTATGTACAAGCATATGCACAAGTTAAATCAAACAAATCCTTAGGTTTAGGCTTGCATGAGGTTTATAGGTAAGTATCCTCTTGAAGTTTAGTTGGTTCAACTTGTCCTAGAAAGTAAACGGGTTCTAGGGAATCTCAATATCACTGATCTTTCTTCATCGGGTGTTGTTTCAGCGCAAGCCTCTTTATTGGCGACCGAAATATCCCGAAAGTCTGATCTCAATGAGCGTAGTATCGAGTATCAACCAACTTCGGATTGCACCAAAGTCGGCTGCCTCACTACTTCCTAATGGCCAAGTTGTTCAAGTAAAGGTTCTAAAGCCAAATAGTGCTTCATGACACCATACAACGGCCCCATATTCTCCTTGACTATTCAAGGGCTACCGGTACCAACAAATGTGTCACACTAACATAGCTATTGCTTAGACCATGTCGGTATACCCCACACAGTTTCCACAACTTATTGCCACTTACCTAAAAAGGTGCCCCAGATCCGCATAGAGGATCAACACAAGCCCAAACAAGGAACCATAATATAAAGAAAACAAATCAAACAAAGAAAAGCAATTAAAGGTGATCTAGCTCTAAGGTAACCCCACTTTCATAGGATGCTCCCCAGCAGAGTCGCTAGTTTTGTAACACGGTGGGAGAAATGACTTGGTGTTTTGTGTTTGATCGCAATTGTTACGGATAGTAAGAGTCGCCACCTACTTTTCTTTTATCCAAAAAGTAAAGGTTAAAAAGAACAGAAAAGACATTTCGAGATTATTTTTTGAGTTCGGGGGTAGATTATGAAAAGGGAAGGTGTTAGCACCCTTTTCATCCATAGTTATCTACGGGCTCTTAGTTGCTTGCTAGATCACTTGTTTTTGTTTGAAATGTGTTTGTGATATGGGTTTTGAAAGTATTCTAAAAATGAGTGTCTTTGTAATGGTTCTCGTCTATATAAGAACGCATACAAAGTGTTTTGTCTTTTGAAAAATGTTTGAAAGTGAAATTGTGGGTGTATAAAATGTTTTTGATGTGAGCAAGCGAGCAACTAGGAGCAACCTACCTACTCAAAAGGTCTTAAATATTCTTTTCCTCCTCCCTTAGATGTTACTATCTTACCATTGATTTGGTAAGAAGCCCCATCATTGGATGTAAAGGGACGAGCGTGAGACGTTTGTATAGTCATAGAAGGGAACCTATGGGACGTTTTAGCAATGTCGTTTAGGGACTAGATCGTTTACCGAAGGCAACATTAAGGGTCATCAAGGGACTACGATCTTTTATCAAGGGTCTTTGTTAAAACGCACATATTCGAGGGACATGACTATTTCTCCGAGGCAACAAGTGGAATTACCCTAGGGGTGCATGTGTGTGAATAATGTGTTTGATTGCATGCATTTGTCTTTTGAACTTTTGATTATCTATTTGTTGTTTTTATCTTGCCATACATCCTAGTTACTAGCATTTATACAAAAGCAATAAAATGAAAAAAATAAACCTTACACTATCACAACCATATTGAATTGCATGGCAATATAAAGGCAAAAATAAAATAAAAGCAAAAAAATGGGTCTTTTGATTTGGGCAGAAACACCCTTCGATTTTGCATTTTCTGGCTTCCTTCGATTTGGGATGTGGAGTCAGTGGAGTCATACCCTTCGATTTTTCTTTTCTATCTCCTTCGACTGGGAGTTAGATCAGTGTGGGCATTCCTTTTGTCTGGTCTTGGAAGTCATCATGGTTCTGTCCTTTGTTTGAGACTTGGAGATAGCAAGGTTCTGACCTTCATTTGAGGCCTGATGGCAGCAAGGTTCTGGCCTTTGTTTGAGACCTAGAGGCAGCAAGGCTCATGCTTTGCCACAGGCTCCTTGCCGACTCCTTTTAAGCATATTGGGCACTCAAATTGTGATTCGAAAGGCTTATGCAACTAGCCAATCAAAGGGTATAACAAACCTGTCTTAAATTCTTAAAATGCAATATCCAAACATAACTACAGCCCAGGGGTTAGCATAAAAATCAATGGGCCTCAATGTCCTAAGCCTAACTAATTAAGGTTGAGTTTTCAGCATATAGGCAGTCATAATCGAAAGCTAAGACATGGTCTAGTTCCCTATATGAAATATTTACATTTTTCTTTACAGGCATATGCACATGATATTAAAATAGGATAGACTCATGTTTGAAGGAAACTTACCTCTTGAATTTCTTAAATCGAATGGAAATTCAAGTGCTTTCTTTGATGGGGAATGGGAATTCGTTGGGACCTTCCTGAGGCTAACCCAGTTACCACTTTGGGGAAGCAAGTGACTGAATCAAAAGAGGTTGGGTGAGTGGACCAAAGGCTCTTTTATGACAAATGATGGAATGACTCAAAGGCCCATTGTATGGTATTTGCGGAAGTGGGTCGAAGGGTAGTTTGATGGTAACTTGGAGGGTGAATCGAAGGTTTTTACTTAGTGTATAGAAGTGTTTGAAAAATAATGTTGGGAAGTGTTTGAGAATTTTTGAGAATTTTCACAAGTGTTTTCTTGCAATCCTTCAGGCGCCCCTAACATGTGTGGTGATGTATCCTATTTATAGATGGTCTGGGATTATTTTTTGGGAGGGAAAACAAAAGGTCAAACAAAAAAGGTATGATGTATTTGTAGCCTTCGAGGGACAGTGTTTTTATGCCATTTTGGTGCAAGAAATAAGGCAGCGTTGCAGGACTGTTGTGCAACAGTTTTTGGAGTTTTATGGCCAGTGTATTAGGCCTGAACCTGGCAGCGCATGGGACATTGTCAACAAATGCCTTTGGCATCTCAACCTTTTGTCTTGACCCCCTAACCTTGCCTTTCGACCAGACTCTTCAACAACCTTTTATTTTTTCAAATTGAAGTGTCATTCGAATGAATCATGTGGATATCGTTTGAAGGGGCAAAATTAATGCCTTTCGACTAGGCCTTTCATGTGTTCCTTCGAATGGTCCAAATGCATGCTCTTGGGATGGGTCAGTAAAATATGTCATTTGATTGGGACATCCAGACATGCCTGACAAGCCCTTCGAATGCACCACCATGGTACTTCTTTCGCATGAGGCAATGTCATAATGCAGAGTTTGTATGGTGAAGCAGGCCAGTTCCAAGGGAGATACTACCCACTCAAATTTGCCTGCAAAGGGGCCATATAGCCAAATGAAAGAGCGTATGCAGGAGGTTCCTGCCTTGTGGCCTTATGTAAACATGCTCAAACGAAATTTTTTAAAAGGGGAGCCACATGCCCAAAAGAAAGGCATGACTAAATACTTGTGCTGAAGGACTCACACCCCCAAACGAAGGGTGCATGTAGGGGATGAAAGGCTCAATCGAAGATTGCAACCCTGGAAAAGCCATTGCCCTAAACAAAGGAGGCCTGCAGGGGGGAAAACGTGTGATCGAAAGAGGGCAGAAGAGAGGCTTTGGCCTCCTGAATTGAAGGGCATCATCAGGAGGCTTTTTTCCTTGTGAATTGAAGCCATTTTATGAGAAGTATTACCCTGTTGAAGCTTGTAACAAGTTGCTTAAAAGGTGACTTTGGCCTTGCGCGTGTTAACATGGTAGGGAAATCTGACTTGTAAGTTTTGGCTGACATACAGGAAAAAACTTGCACAAATGTTCAAGCGAAGTCAAGTATCCAACGAAGTAGGAAATGAACTTGCCCAAACGAGTCCAGTGCCCCAATCGAAGTAAGTGCCCCAATCAAAGCATGAAATGAGCTTGCCCTAGAGGAATCCAGCGCTCAAACAAAATATGCAACCAAAGCTAAAGTATCCAATAGAAGGATGCAAAATCGAAAAGAACTCGCTTTCCTTTAATTTTGTCAAAAGAGTATTTTCATCTGTTTAGTTCTTTTTTGGCAATTTCTTCCTTAATCTTAATGTTGAAAAATCCAAATATGTTTGTGTAAGCTTGAATTTTTGGGAGCCTTTTGTGAGAATTGTCTTGAGGAATGAGAGGGAAAATTTTGGGGTACAACAATCACAATCTCGTTTTTTTAGAACACAATTTTCACTTCATGCATCATGACATTGCATGCAGCTAAACCTTTACCTTTTCAGGTAAAATCTGTACACAAACGGATTTTCATATGACTAGATGAATTTGTGGTACTCTGTCGAGGTAGAAATCATTATCTGTTGAGGTAGCAATCGTCAAATATTCCTTCATTATCTATTAAGGTAGAAATCATTAGATATTCCTTCGTTATCCATTGAGGTAGCAATCGTCAAAGATTCCTTCATTATCCATTGAGGTAGCAATCGTCAAAGATTCCTTCATTATCTGTTGAGGTAGCAATCGTCCAAGATTCCTTCATTATCCATTGAGGTATTCCTTCATTATCCATTGAGGTAGCAATCGTCAAAGATTCCTTCATTATCTGTTGAGGTAGAAATCGTCAAAGATTCCTTCATTATCTATTAAGGTAGTAATCGTCCAAGATTCCTTCATTATCCATTGAGGTAGCAATCGTCAAAGATTCCTTCATTATCTGTTGAGGTAGCAATCGTCAAATATTCCTTTATTATCTATTAAGGTAGAAATCATTAGATATTCCTTCGTTATCTGTTGAGGTAGCAATCGTAAAAGATTACTCCGTATAACCCTCCAGAGGTAGTCCAACACTGACTCATCCTAAAACAGCCATACACAGGCTCTTTCTAATATGTTTTCAAGTAACGGTTAATTCCCTTATTCCTAGCAAGTTACTGTGAAGCCTGGATTTCAACCAGAAAACAACAAACTTTCATCTCTCTAGAGATAACTCTTTAGCATATCCTTGGACAATTGAAGTTCCTAGACTCTATTTCCCACAAAGTTTCCTCAAGTAGGAGAACAACAGAAATCAGCCTTCCCCAGCAGACTCCTCCTCAGACAGCAGGAAAAGGAATTCCCCATAAATGGACCTCTTTGGAAG